TAAATAAGTGCACCACTTATTTCTGTCTCGATTGGTTTTAACCACATCTACTGCCGCCAAACGGCCTCAATAATAAATGAATGGAATATATCAATCTCCGATTCATAATATATAACAGAGAAACGTGGGTCGTAAAATTATGTGTTGAATTCCCCCCCCCCCCCCCCCCCCCCATTTTTAAGAGACCCACGCTTTTTAAAAATACGTTTTTAATTATTGTTGCATTATTATACATTTAAAGGCGATCATTATATTTTCTACTTGTAAAGCATCATCTTTTTCCTTCTGTGTCCTAACCACACGGGCCGGATATAGCATAGATAAAAGTTGTATGACCTTTTCTTAAAAACTAATGATTAATATATGTGTAAATAGTTAAAAAATAACCAAGGGAAAGAACTTAAATATGTGATCCCAAAAAGCTTTTAATCTATATAAATAAATTCATTAATAATTTAAGGAAATTAAGATGATTATTTACTAATGCTTTATAAATAAATATAAAATATTATACTCAAAATTATATTGAATATTCAACATAACGGAGAAAAAAATATAATACTTAAGTTAATGCTGAACAAAAAAAGTAATAGTTTTGTGTGTTAGCCATTCTAGTAAATTGTGAACCCTTTCTTACAAAGTTTACTTTTGTTACACGTTATTTCTGGCAGTAATCGGCAACCTCAATTAAAAAAAAAAAAAAAAAAAGGCAACCTCAATTATTTTATTTGTTAATTGGCTTCTTTACATTTTATTATATCCGTGCAAGAAAACGCTTGCTCGCATGAATATGTTGACCAGTGGCGTAGCTACCGTAAAGTTAGCGTAAGCAAGGCATAGGAGCCCATGGCATTTAGGGGCCCTTTTCCCTCTTTGAAAAATTAAAACTTTTTACGTTGAAATTTTAATATTTCTTTTATACAAATAATTTTAAAAATGAAATGAAAATTCCGTTTCTTTTCTATTGTAGAAATAATTAAAAGTTCCAAACAGGCTCCCCAGTCCTTTCGTACTTTACAAGTAGTGGGATTCAGTGGGGGGGGGGGGGGGGGATCGAACAGGGCCCATCCTTAATAATAGCAATATATCTTTACGCTAATGACATTTCATTTGTTGATCTAATTAATCTTTAATCAATATGGCGCCATTAACACTATATGTTTTTTGGTTTTCATCCAATCGCCAAGAAACTTTGGGAAATCGTCGAGAATACGCCAACGGAAGTGTGTTTTTCCCAGACATTTTTCCTGATATAAACTCTGACTTTTGGGGAGGTTTCACCCATTAAATTTTTATTTTATTTCTGAGCCCCCCCCCCCCCTCGGCAGTTTCCCAGTGGCTATGCTCCTGGGTTCTGTTGATAGGGTGTCCGTCGCATCTTGTCAGCGTTACTACTTGATTCAGCGGTCAAATTGCACGGGCGCATTAGCCGGCACCCCGGCGGTCGCCTATATTCGTTTTAATGAGCACCATACACTAGGGATATGTCGGGATACACAAATCGATTACTAAATCGAATAAGGGGTGTCCTCTAGCGCATCAGCAGTAGTAACGGTTGGGCTCCCGAGTTACCCTGCGGCTACCTGAGTGCACGAGATCCTTTGATTGGACGGATTGATGGGGATCGACTTTATCAACTGTAACACAACACCTTGCACTTAGACAAGAACGCGTGTTGACATTAGACAATAATCGCTGTTTGCTCGACGGCTGACCGCAAGACTGGTAAACCGACTTTCGTGACAACCGCCTGTTAGATATCGAATTTTGAATGTTTTGGAAGAGATGCAATCCCCCCCCCCCCCCCTCCACCGGACTAGCGGACGGATCAAAGACAGCGTACGCAAATCGGCAGGTGTCAATTATGTGTCTTGGAAAATGTAGGAATGATAGATCTGTATAAGTATTACAGCGCCCTTTTCCCACGGTCGTTTTTTTTTTGTTTCTGGCCATGGGTGGCTACTATGTCAACTTTTGACTTCCCAGTTGTAGACGGGGTACAGTAAAGTAGGCATTCCGAAGATACCGAGTTGCGTCCCCTGTTTTAGTCAAGTACTTCCTTCGTTTAATTATTATATCTACAATTTATGATCATGTCTTTGAAACTGTATAAAACTACAAAAAAAAATTATTATTATTTTTTTAAATGTTTGAAATAAATTTATATTAAATTAAAAACATAGCCAAATAAAAACTATGAGAGTACTGCTATAGATATACACTCCACTATGTCCTACCCCCCCCTCCCCGTCCTACTGTTGTCATACAGTCCTCTATGTCCTACCCTCCCCGTCCTACTGTTGTCATACACTCCCTTATGTCCTACCCTCCCCGTCCTACTGTTGTCATACACTCCCTCCATGTCCTACCCTCCCCGTCCTACTGTTGTCATACACTTCTCACATGTCCTACCCTCCCCGTCCTACTTTTGTCATACACCCCTCCATGTCCTACCCTCCCCCCCCCGTCCTACTGTTGTCATACACTCCTCCATGTCCCACCCTCCCCGTCCTACTTTTGTCATACACCCCTCCATGTCCTACCCTCCCCGTCCTACTGTTGTCATACACCCCTCCATTTCCTACCCCCCCCCCCGTCCTACTGTTGTCATACACTCCTCCATGTCCCACCCTCCCCGTCCTACTGTTGTCATACACCCCTCCATGTCCTACCCTCCCCGTCCTACTGTTGTCATACACCCCTCCATGTCCTACCCTCCCCGTCCTACTGTTGTCATACACCCCTCCATGTCCTACCCTCCCCCCCCCCGTCCTACTGTTGTCATACACTCCTCCATGTCCCACCCTCCCCGTCCTACTGTTGTCATACACCCCTCCATGTCCTACCCTCCCCGTCCTACTTTTGTCATACACCCCTCCATGTCCTACCCTCCCCGTCCTACTGTTGTCATACACCCCTCCATTTCCTACCCCCCCCCCCGTCCTACTGTTGTCATACACTCCTCCATGTCCCACCCTCCCCGTCCTACTGTTGTCATACACCCCTCCATGTCCTACCCTCCCCGTCCTACTGTTGTCATACACCCCTCCATGTCCTACCCTCCCCGTCCTACTGTTGTCATACACCCCTCCATGTCCTACCCTCCCCGTCCTACTGTTGTCATACACCCCTCCATGTCCTACCCTCCCCCCCCCCCGTCCTACTGTTGTCATACACTCCTCCATGTCCCACCCTCCCCGTCCTACTTTTGTCATACACCCCTCCATGTCCTACCCTCCCCGTCCTACTGTTGTCATACACCCCTCCATTTCCTACCCCCCCCCCCCGTCCTACTGTTGTCATACACTCCTCCATGTCCCACCCTCCCCGTCCTACTGTTGTCATACACCCCTCCATGTCCTACCCTCCCCGTCCTACTGTTGTCATACACCCCTCCATGTCCTACCCTCCCCGTCCTACTGTTGTCATACACCCCTCCATGTCCTACCCTCCCCGTCCTACTGTTGTCATACACCCCTCCATGTCCTACCCTCCCCCCCCCCCCGTCCTACTGTTGTCATACACTCCTCCATGTCCCACCCTCCCCGTCCTACTTTTGTCATACACCCCTCCATGTCCTACCCTCCCCGTCCTACTGTTGTCATACACCCCTCCATTTCCTACCCCCCCCCCCCGTCCTACTGTTGTCATACACTCCTCCATGTCCCACCCTCCCCGTCCTACTGTTGTCATACACCCCTCCATGTCCTACCCTCCCCGTCCTACTGTTGTCATACACCCCTCCATGTCCTACCCTCCCCGTCCTACTGTTGTCATACACCCCTCCATGTCCTACCCTCCCCGTCCTACTGTTGTCATACACTTCTCCATGTCCCACCCTCCCCGTCCTACTGTTGTCATACACCCCTCCATGTCCTACCCTCCCCGTCCTACTGTTGACATACACTCCCTTATGTCCTACCCTCCCCGTCCTACTGTTGTCATACACTCCCTTATGTCCTACCCTCCCCGTCCTATTGTTGTCATACACCCCACACATGTCATACCCTCCCCGTCCTACTGTTGTCATACACCCTTCTATGTCCATTTAGCAGGACCACAATGTTTAGGCCCACAATGTGAAGGCCCACAATGTTTAGGCCCACAATGTTTAGGCCCACAATATGAAGGCCCACAATGTTTAGGCCCACAATGTGAAGGCCCACAATGTTTAGGCCCACAATGTGAAGGTCCACAATGTTTAGGCCCACAATGTTTAGGCCCACATTTAGCAGGGCCACAATGTTTAGGCCCACAATGTTTAGGCCCACAATGTGAAGGCCTACAATCAGCAGGCCCACAATGTTTAGGCCCACATTTAGCAGGGCCACAATGTTTAGGCCCACAATGTTTAGGCCCACAATGTTTAGGCCCACAATGTGAAGGCCTACAATCAGCAGGCCCACAATGTGAAGGTCCACAATGTGAAGGCCTGCAATGTGAAGGCCCACAATGTGAAGGTCCACAATGTGAAGGCCCACAATGTGAAGGTCCACAATGTGAAGGCCTACAATGTGAAGGCCCACAATGTGAAGGTCCACAATGTGAAGTCCCACAATGTGCCGGCCCACAATCAGCAGGACCACAATGTGTAGGCCCACAATGTGTAGGCCCACAATGTGTAGGCCCACAATGTGCCGGCCCACAATCAGCAGGACCACAATGTGTAGGCCCACAATGTGTAGGCCCACAATGTGTAGGCCCACAATGTGTAGGCCCACAATGTGCCGGCCCACAATCAGCAGGACCACAATGTGTAGGCCCACAATGTGTAGGCCCACAATGTGTAGGCCCACAATGTGTAGGCCCACAATGTGCCGGCCCACAATCAGCAGGACCACAATGTGAAAGCCCACAGTTTGTAGGCCCACAATAAACAGGCCCGTACATTTAACACTGACGTCTAACAACACCAATAATCGTATCCAACACACATTCCTAAAACGACTCATATCTTTCACAAACAAAAATCGAGAACATTTTAAGCAAGTTATGACTTTATTAGATGTAGCAAAACAGACGTCTTCATTCAACAACCTCGTATCTTTTAATGCCTAACATTAAGTGCCGGTGCATACATGACGTCACAATCGTAGGTGTTGGGGCGATCAGACTGAAGTATGACGTCATGCTGAGGTGAGGGTCTGCCTTTCAATACTGATAAGAGGGGAGGAGGGAGTAGAAAATCGTCATCGGAACGGGACATCATTTACTGGACGACACCCTACCCCCGGCTTATCCGTGACGATAGTAAAAGCAAAGGAACACGTAACACATCCGGTTTTTTTTCTTCTTTGACTTCAAATCTTGAGTTTTTAACCAAATTTCTTGATGTTGCCTGTATTGATAAAAATTTGAAACAATCAAAGTAGAAAAAATAGTAGTTGACAATGCTATTAACATAAGATATTTTTTGTTTTACTGAATCTTTTAAATTATAAAGTTCTGATGGTAATAAAAAGAGTATTTAATTTAACAGCAACTCAAATATAAACATTATAATAAAACACAGCATTTACATAGCACGCTAAAGGCTTATGAATATTTTTCTGTTGTAGACAAAGTTTAGTTTGTAATCAACCTGAACAAATATTAAAGTTAGCTACTAGTGTTGGAACTAGCTAAATTCTTTCAGAAGAATTCGTTAAGTTGCTTTTTGTCCTGATTCTCCTAAACTTTGCGAATGCTAATGTGTGTTTCTTCATGCGTGTTCATCTTTGTGATTATTAATTACTGTTGTTGTTCATATTACATTTCTTTGTGTTATACTGCTAAGAGTGTAATTGTGTGTTTGTTTCAATGTATATGTACTATTATAAGTTTTTTTTTTTACATTTAGTAGTTTCATGCGAAATCGTGTAAACAAAGCATAAACAGAATATAAATTTAAAAAAAAAACCATAAATATAAACCCATTTAAAACCACATCACATTGCAACCGTTTTGATACCTGAATTAGGTTTCTTTACATTTGTGCTGTATTGGCTAAAAATAATGTTAAAAGATTGATATAGCATTTAGAAATTTGTGTGTTGGCTTAATTTTTTTTTTAAAAATATGTAGAATTTAATATTTATTGTGGTGAATACTTATAACGCCCAGAACTAAATGAATACAGTTAACTCGGGTTTATGTAAAAGACTGAGAAGTTAAAAAACAAAAGAAAGCATTGTTAAAAAAAAATTGTTACCATTCCACCTAGAACCACGCAGCACATCACACAGGATCCCAATAGAATATCTCGCACTGACAATGTTCCTGGGGTCAAAATATGTAACATTTTTGTAATCATGGTATACGTGAAGTAAGTATACGTAATAAAAATGTAGTATCACTAATGAAGTACTAACTTATATTTTTTTCGTATAATAAACGACTTGCTTTGTATACAACAGGAATATTTTATTTACGCTATCTTGTTACTACCAGAATTGTTTAATAGGCGATGTTGGTAACATTTTCAAATTTAATGGTTTCCGACGAAAGGGTTCCGTATATTAGTCATATTTCTAATATAAATGCTTCATCCTTTTATTAGCAATATTTCATATATTAGTTTTCGGATGTTTTCGCTAATTTCTCCTTTTAATCGCCACTGCGTAGCCTACATGACACTCTCGTACATGACTCTCGTACATGACACTCTCGTACATGGCACGTACCTGGAGGCCACAGGTGAGCTAGGAGGTAACCCATTACGATACACCAGGCAACTGTATATAGGAATAATTATGTATCATATATACAAATATATATATATATATATATATATATATATATATATATATATATATATATATATATATATATATATATATATATGAATAGTTATGGAAAGACGAAAGAGATATAATAGAATCTGACTTCGGACAAAGGACTTCTAACCCCCCTCCCCCACCACCACCACCACCGCTCTCTTACCATCTAGCCCATTTTACTTGATACTAATAAATAAAAGTGAGCACTGTAATATTTAATAACAGGTAAATCTAACATCTAGGAAAAATTTCCAAAAGTGTATCTACCATCAAGAGTAAATTAAAAAAGTGAACCTACTACCAAGAGTAAATGAAAAAGTGAACCTACCATCAAGAGTGAACCAAAAAGTGAACCTACCATCAAGAGTGAATAAAAAAGTGAAACTACCACCAACAGTGAATCAATAAGTGAACCTACCACCTAGAGATAATAAAAAGTGAACCTACCACCAAGAGTGAACAAAAAGTGAACCTACCACCAAGAGTGAACCAAAAAGTGAACCTACCACCAAGAATGAACCAAAAAGTGAACCTACCACCTGGAAACAATTCACTTTCCTCCTGCTGACAGTCTGGGGACGACATCTGTCAAACAAAAGAACTGGTTGTACGATTAAACTAGCTGCAGCTGACTAGCAAGATCTTTGGTTTTAAAGAAACAATACGCAGCAAGAACTCTCTCTCTAAATATTCGTCTCTTCAGAAATTTGAAATATTTCGAGTATAACGAGAATCGTTTTCAAAAGTTCGCCATAAAAAACACAGATCTAGTGTGGGGGATGATCTACAGTAGTGAAAAACTCTGAACATATTATGCAGGGCTAACTTTTATTCTAAATGGATAGTGGCTCTGTTATGGAACATTCGATGGGTAAGTAAAGTTCCTTTTTTTGGAACCTGACGGGGCAAGTGAAGTAGAGTTTACCTGTTTCACTGACCTCGCCATATGAATGGATAGTGTGGTCAGCACTATGCCCAGCCGCCTTTACTTTCCCTCACGTTGGTTAGTTACCTATAAGAGCTGGGTGGACTCAGGGACATTCTACTGAGTTGAACCCCAATTCGAACTCGAGACTTTCGGTTAGCGTTCGAGTCCCCTTGCGTTCGTGAGGATCGCTAGATAGGGACAGACAGCAACCTATCTAGAAGAGCAAACTTTTAAAAATCACACAACTTCTGCCTAGCATGTTTTTTTTCTTGGGTAGACAAAGGCTTAGGTAGATCATCCAGAAAGAAAAGCAGGCTGAAGTCTGAGTCAATCGGCCATATGGACCGTGAGTTGTTCACACGTAATGCTAAACTGTGTTGAAGAAAATTCCCTTCAGTTTTACAAATGAGAATGAAGAAAAAGAAGAAGTTGTATACATTGATGGTAAATTGTTACTTTTTGCTAGTATCCTTATCCTGATCCTAATAACTGACTTTAACTGAAAAAAAAATAAAAGTCCGAGTGGTCGGGTCGGTTAAGCTCATGGTTGCTGAACCAAAAAGGCCCCGAGTTCGAATCCCTGGGCAGATGAGGTTGGGGACAGCTACTCATCTAGGAGAGACAAATCTAAAATCTAAAAACTTCTGCTTTATAGTTTGTTCTTGGCTGGACAAAGGCTATGGAAGCAAATCCAAAACGAAAAGCAGGCCTATATAAGAAGTAGTCACATATTTCTTAACGGTGTTGGAGGGAATCTCTTCCAATACTAAAATTAATAACGAAGAACAAGTAGAAGACTGAAACAAAATGCCATGTTCACCAAAATCGCTCCTGTTTTTAGCGTATCGCAGTTACAAATGTAAAAAAAATGTTGTATTTCTATGCTGTTAACATAATTGTCTTACGTGTTTTGTTACAGATTGTGAAGAAATACCAACTGGGTTGTATGTGGGGGTGGGCTAGAGCTCAGCAGAGGTGAAAGATGATGAACAAAATAAATACTCCTATAAGAACGTCCTGAATTGTGATAGTTTCTGAAAGATTAAAAAAAAGTATAATTTCATTGCTTATGTGAAACTAAAAATACAATGAATATGTATCCCATCAACAATATTTATGGTATATAGTGACGGAATTTTTTTTTTATAAAATAGAAATAAATAAATAATACAATTATATAGGCCTAACAGCTGTTATTAATATTTTTCCTAAATAGTCATAGTTTCTGAAAGACAAAAAGGTATTTTTTAAAATCATGTCAGCGCATTTATGTGTGATTTATTTGAAATAGTAATGTACAATTAAACCAAAATAAAATGTTACCAATAATACCATACCCCATTCCCTCATGTATCCTCGACCTGGTGTATAAAAATGTGATTTTAAAAAGCCATGGAAATTCGACTTCGCTTTAACGAACTGTTCGGCGAACGAACCCAGAGGTAATACCGTAACGGCAATATTTCCTTTACACCATAAAACCTAAGTGCTATTTCACTCGACAATGTTGAACTAGACACAAAAGTAAAAAAACAAAAAAAAAAAAAAAAAACTTACCAATTCGAAAAAGATGGGCAAGGAGAAAACCAACAGTCATCCACTCAATTACTATAAAAACAAATGTGTATATACATATATACATATATATATATATATATATATATATATATATATATATATATATATATATATATATATATATATATATATATATATATATATATATATATATATATATATATATATATATATATATATATATATATATATGTATGTATATATATATATATATATATATATATATATATATATATATATATATATATATATATATATGTAAAACAAATCCACCTTTTATCAAAAGCTGCCTTATCCACCTACATTATTCTTACCTAGTCAAGTCCTCAAATCTATTTAACTAACCTCTAGAATAAACTACGTACCTGCTTTCAATACATTACGAATCAGTACAGTGTCTTTCATTGTCCAATGCCTACATAAAAAAATGAATAAGCACGATGGTCAGGCATTTATTATCTGGGGCTTGATATTCAATCACAAATGACCAGGGATGGGGGTCATAAGACCTGACCACACATGACCAGGGGGGTCTGTCATAAGACATGACAACAATTGACCAGGGGGGTCTGTCATAAGACCTGACCACAAGTGACCAGGGGGGTCTGTCATAAGACCTGACCACAAGTGACCAGGGGGGTCTGTCATAAGACATGACCACAAGTGACCAGGGGGTCTGTCATAAGACCTGACCACAAGTGACCAGGGGGGTCTGTCATAAGACCTGACCACAAGTGACCAGGGGGGGTCTGTCATAAGACATGACAACAAGTGACCAGGGGGGTCTGTCATAAGACATGACCACAAGTGACCAGGGTGGGTCTGTCATAAGACATGACCACAAGTGACCAGGGGGGTCTGTCATAAGACATGACAACAAGTGACCAGGGGGGTCTGTCATAAGACATGACCACAAGTGACCAGGGGGTCTGTCATAAGACCTGACCACAAGTGACCATGTGTCCATCTAAAGACCTGAGCTCCAATGTAGCCCAGATCTAAACGTATGTTTCAGCAAAACATGTGATTACATACAGCCATGTCCAAAATATTTTTACCTTCACAGACTTCGCTACGTGTAAATATTCTCACTCTCATGGCTGAATAGAGGCTTTTATTTTTTCCACAGCATACGCAGTACCAACACTACTAGATTAGATCTAGAACCCAAAAGTGCTATACATTCGGCTTGATGAAGCCTCACCTTTACTTTAAACCTACATAGATAACCATACCTCGCACCCCCCCCCAACCCAAACACCTTTAAACCCAAACCAGAAACACAACCATACAAATACAACAACGCTAAACAAAACGAATCCTACTTGCCTGTATTTGTTTGTTTTTTTCTTAGTTTTATTTGTTTTTACGGCAACATGGATGCAAATGATGTTCAACATAGATTATAATGCGTTAAACAGTGCGTCTTTTTCTTTTTTTTTCAGCTTATAGTGCGCATGTTTTGTTTTGATTACATTAATTAACTTTTTAACAATGGTGTATTTGTTAAAAACAGTAAAAGCTTGTTAAACCGTTTAAAAAAGGCATATTTAAAAAATGAACTAGATCGAAGAATACACATTTTTTCTTTTTTTGAAAGCTTTAATTTCTATTATTTTAATTGTAAAAGTTGAAAGCAGCTCATTAGTAGGCGATATAAATCTATCTGGGAGAAAAATGTCCATAGTCAAACATGTCTTCTATGCATATTGTTCTGGGGCAATTAACACGTATGAAGCAAATCGAGAAGAGAAAACTTTCAAGACAATACAGGCGAGATAACTCTTAAAATACAAACACCAAGCTTCTTATTGCAGTTGTTTCCCTTTACCTGTATTAGCGATTGTTCTACTTCTACACTTGTAGTTACATTGTGCCTATGTTATTGGAACTTTCTGTTCTACAGTAATAGCTGTCCAACATGTCCTGTTGTCGTAATTGTCCTATCCCCTCACAGTCCTACATGTCCTGTTGCCTTAGTTGTCCTACCCCCCTCACAGCACAGTTTTGCTTGTCCTTTTGCCATATTTGTCCTATCCCCCCCCCCCCCCAGACCTACTTGTCATCCCTAAATGTCCCACCCCTCCCACCTCACTTACATCCTCTCCTACCCCAATTACCTGCTGGTGGCAACGAATCTTCTCGTTATAATCCCAACCAGTCGCAACTCTCGCCCTACCCCCGTACGTCCCCACCCTGCCCCATGGAGGAACCTGAATTGCCATCAAACCACAAGACAACTTAACAAAACATTCAAATTAAAATACTACCCCCCCCCCCCCCCTTTTCTCATTCAGAACACAATCCTGTGGCGTCGCTAGATCGGGATTCACCCGGTGCGGCATTTCATTGTGTCAACCCCCCCCCCCTTATATTTCTCTGTAAATTTTGCAGTTGGTGTCATCCCCCCCCCCCCACCTGGTAAAAGCTTTAAAGTGTTCACATTTTATTCTAATGATGGTTATCTGTCGTCGGTTGTTAATACTACTGAGTGTAGTAGCATTGTTTTCTCTATTGTTTGAATGTTTACGTCATGGTGTCACGAGATTGCAAATATGTACTTAAAATAATTTTAACTAATTAACTATTCATTGAACTGGCAAAAAAAAATGATTCATATAAATCTTGAATTTTTTTGTGTCTTGGTGTCACCCCCATAAATGGTGTCACCCATTGCGGTTCGCACCCACCGCACCCGCCTCGCGACGCCTCTGACAACATCACACAATTTTAACACTTCTTACTGTATCACAAAATTCATAGAATAAAACAGAAAAAATCTTATAAATAATTCAATATTATTTTATTGGGCATACATGAATTGGTATAAAATTAAGACATAAAATATTGAATCCATGATTGTGATAAATAAATGACATAAATATGATCTTTGGTGTTCATAAAAAAGTAGAATTCTTTACAAAGATGTATATCAACATTAACATTTGTGTGTCAAATATAAATTGTGTAATGATTGCATAAGACCTATATCATTAATAAAGACCCACAAAAATATATAAATATGTGTGTAGATGTGTGTGTATGTGTGTTAGTGTGTGTGTGTGTGTAGTTGTGTGTGCAGTTGTTTAGTTGTGTGTGTGTATGCGTGTGTGAGTGTGTCCGTGGTATTGTGTGTGCATGCGTGTGTGCATGTGTGCGTGTGTGCGTGTGTGTGTGTGTGTGCGTGTGTGTGTGTTTATCAGCTGGTTTGTTTGTCGCTGAAGAAAGTATTACAACAGTTTAATTTATTCACAGTAGTCCCTGTTACCTAAAAGTATGCATCATGTATGAGTTGTGACTTTGATAGTAATGATGAAAACATTGAAAATTATATTGACTATAGTAAAGAAATGAAATTAGGGGAAAAAATACCTCTCTTCTTTTCATTTCATTCAAGAACTATACTTTGAAAAAAGCTCATTCAGGTGTACACCTCAGGCTTCGTCATAAGACGTTGCTACCTATCTACATTTTATATTTTACATAGAAAAAAGTCCCCCCCCCCCCCCGTGTCGGATATTTCCCCATTACCCCCCCCCCCTCCACCCACCTTTAGTTATGACTGATGGTGTACTAATAAATGTACCGCCAAACAAAAACATGCCCTACTTTTAGCAAACGCTCGCATGCTCTTATCTTTTAAAGAAATTATAAAAATAACATTTTGATTAAGTTGACTGGTGGCAATGGGGGAGAGGGGGTGTAGATAGTTAACATAAATTGTAAACATTAGTATAGGGCTTGTGTCATTTAAAAAAATTTTTTGCCTAACTGGGGAAAATTATGACTAGCACATCCTGGTTTCTAAAGCAGCACAGTTATACAACGCAGCAACTAAATTCATATACAGTTTCTTGCACTAAAACCTTAAATTTAAACATTTACAGCTCTGAAGTCAGCGGCGGATTAAGGAAGGGGCTGACCAGGCAGCACGATGAGGGCTTTCAAAATTAGAAATAAAAAATGTATCTTAGAACAATTACAAGCTGTAAACATCTCAGGGTTATTTGATATTTTTAACTAGAATCTAGCTAACCTAAGTAGGTTGGCCCTCTATTTTAGTAAAAAAAAAATATTATTTTCTCTACAAAAAAAACTATTACATATCAATGCATAAAATAAATATATACATGTTTAAACCAGGAAAATCAGCTGCTTTACGTGTATAGACTTTGGACAAACATTCAGATAAGCGCACACTATATTAGAATACATTCATAATTATTTTTTTTTTCTACAACGTAATACATTACAATCAAAATAGTGTAAATTTAAAAAATAAAATTAAAAACATATGGTAACTTACTGCATAAGTATATGACACTATAACCATACAATTAAAATTGAAAGAGAACGGCATTAACTAGCTTATTTTATCAATAGAACAACATAAGATAATGTATTAAATAAATTTGACAACGTTAATCTTATTATACCATCAGATGTTTAACTCTAGCGCGGACTCAAATAAAGTTGATGATGCCCATCAATTATGTACAAACGTGTTAAAAATTCACAGTAAAAGTTGTACAGACACAGGTATAGTTCAAATTATAATTTCAAAGTCAAATTTAACACATATACTTACGGTTAAAGTTAACACTTATTCGAATAACTTAGGAAATGTATGGCAAACCAAATGACATGTATGTATAAATACTTTCATAGGCTGTTTAATACAATAAACACAGTGTAAAAACATTTTCCAACGGTAAAATAGTTGTAAAAAACATTTATTTTGTAACAATAGTTGTAACAATGAATGAAATAGCGTATCACAAAGTCTTAAATAAGTTCACTAGAACGTCATTTATAAGTCCCTACGTTTATAAATTCCCCATCCAGTGTTTATCTATTTTAAATTATAAACTATCCAGGGATTATATTCTACCACTATATACATACACAATGAGTGTCTGTGCAGCTATTATTTAATGACTTAGTAGTGCATGTTCAGTTTAAAACCCCAAATGAAACATGAATTAATTTTAAAGCGAATTTTAAAATTTTATAACAGTTGACTCATGTCGTTTAAAACTCAATGATTTTGAGACGAAGACTAGAATTTGAAAAAAAATATTTTTCATTATGTACAACCACCCCTAAACCACTGTACCTGATGAACTCCAAACCAACCCGAGTACCTATCAGAAGCATCAAGGGTTAAATATAAACCTAGAGTTCAGCCAAGCGGAACAATATAACTAATAGTGAGGGTAATGAAGCGTAAGGTACGCAATCCTAACATAACATCACATACATCAGGATTTCCTCAAACATCTTATCAGAAAAATCAGGATTTTCTTAAATATGTTATCGTAAACATCAGGATTTTAAAATAAAATAATGTACAAGTCTCATCTATAAATAGAATGTAACATTGTCATGAAGGTGTGAACAAGCGCCGAGGGGGATGAAGTCAGTACATGAACAAAGCGTGAAGTATTGCACTGGGGGCAAAAATTGTATAAGCATGAATACATGAATATCACAGTTAGTTTCTATCTTTGGTAGTAGTAGCATCAACACCCACGTAGAAATAATTCCAACATCCGCGTATTAAACGAAACAAAACAATGAACGTTTTTTTTTTTTTGCCCATGTCACTGGGCTATGAGTTATTTCCCCTGGGTTGAAAATATATAATTGTTTATATCATCCCTCGCCTTTCTTTCTTTCTTCCAACCCCCCCCCCCCCCCCCCCCCCCCCCCCCCCATTCCCGAGTATTATGTTTTTGCTGCGGATGGTAAGGCAAAAAAAAAGGTGTATTTTATTTATGTTTATGATACGGGGTTCTCAGAAATGTAATCTAGTACTCGGGAATGGGGTGAAGTGGGGGTGAGGGGATTCTTCTAACTTAGTGAGGGAAAGAGAAGTAAGGGTTTGGGAAAATGTACGTAAACATAGCGTGCATTGTGTATTTTTCAAAAGTAAAATAAAATCATGACAAATGAGTCCATGTTAATACATGTTATGGTAGGTTTAAGATGACCCGGGGGTATGAGATGTCAGGCAGGGACGGGTTTGGGGCAGAGGAGTAGTGATGGGGGGGGGGGGGCAGGGCGGGGCACATATGTCCCCGGGCGCCGACATTAGGGGGCGCCGAAATGGGTTGTAAAAACAAATTAAAATGTCAATTTAGTTGGCATTTTTGAAGTTTGAGGGGGGGGGGGGGGTGGGGTGCAAATCGAAAAGTTGAGGGGGGGGGGGGGTGGCAAATTAAAAATTTGCTCCCGACGGGGAGCCAAATTGAAAGTGTTCCCCGGGCGCCGGGAAGGGTCGGCTACGCCTCTGGGTTGTGGAGGGGGGGGGGGGAGTAGTTTTTCGTTATGACGTATGAGAGCTAATCTAACGGGCTACATTTATTTTATGGCTTGAGCGTTACTACACAAATGTAAATATCAGCTAATTTGGACCTCGCCATTGTAATACCCTATTTGCCCTAGATGTATTTTCCTATACTTGAACAAAGGGTTTTTTTTATTTGATTCAGGTAAAGCAATTGTGGGAAGGGGGGGGGGGGGGTGGGGGTGGGGTGGGGGGGGGGGGTTGATCTGCGGACCTATGTTTGAGTCATGTTGCAAAAAAAAAAGTTAACGGTCATAAAACACCTATCAAGTCATATTATCACGTAACAGCAGTAACAGGCTGGAATAAATAGAATACTGGAGTTTGAATCTGCACCGAGGGCGGCTCTAAGACTCGCAGAGGGAAAGACAAGAGTTCTCTGGGCCACCTCCTTGTGGTGATGCTCCTTCACCTGCGGCACGTTGATGACGTAATGTTCAGAAGGCAGCGACGCCAGGATGTCCACCTGCGATTTTTTCGTGTGAGTCCCCAGCGTGACGACGACGATCTTTACTTTTGACCTCTTGAGCTGACCCGCCCGGATTAAAGTCCGTATCCGGTTCTCTAGAACCGAGTCCAAGAACACCACCACCACCCGTCGGTGTGACGCGGAGTCGAAGGAGACGACAGGGTTGAAGTAATTCTGCCCCACCTTCCATAGCAGAACGTCGATGCCGGCTTTCTTGGAATCCAGGTCCAGCTCGCTTTTGAAATTCGTCTTCGTCCACTGGTTGGTCAGCTCGATGTCGGAGAGCAGCTCTGACCCCCGGTTTGGGGGCGTCCCGTATGACCCCGAACCACAGTTTCCTTGTCGCTGAGTCCCGGCGTTTTGGTGACGGCGGAGATGACGCTGATGACGAAAGGATGATGGGCGACGCTGATGGCGGCGCGGTCGTAGATGAAGATGGCGTCGGTTGGTTGCTCTGGGCAACTTGGATCTGAAAACAGTTTATATTTTTTGTTAAATCTATTTTTTAAACCCGGAGTAGGCAAAAAAACAATTAAAAAGTCAATTATCTAATTAGTACATCTAAAATAGTATTAATAATTTAAACATAAGGGTTCGGCGTGGTCGAGTCGGTAAAGCTCGTGGTTGCTAAACCGAAAAGTCTCGAGTTCGAACCCTCGGGCTGATGAGGCTCGTTAGCTGGGGACAGCTACTCTTCTAGGAGAGACAATCTCCAAAATTAAACAACTGCTGCCTTGTAGTTTGTTCTTGGTTGGACAAAGGCTATGGAAGCAAATCCAAAAAGAAAAGCAGGCTGAAATCGGAGTCAATGGCCTCAAAGGCGCATAACCAGTTGACACGTAACGCTTAATTGTGTTGGAGGCGTGGGTCGAGTCGGCAAAAAGCTCATGGTTGATAAATTCGAACAAAGTCTCGAGTTCAAACCCACTGGCAGATAAATCTCGATCCCCTTCAACACTAATAATTAAGAACGAAGAAGAAGAAGAAGATTTAAACATAGTTTCTGTGTCAAAATATAAACTACCTATTTAAAAACTGTAGGCCTACATTTTAATTTTTTTTTAATAATCTTTTTTTTTTTTAAAAAAAACACAGATACAGCTTTATGTTTGAAATATGTATCAATACAGATCAAATTTTTAAAAATGTGTTAAGCTTAAAATATATTTTTTTTTCAACTGAGATACTGCTGTGTGTTGTAAAAATCATCATATTAGTTTATGTTCTTGTGATTTACAGTTTTACAAATATTTAATTGTAACTATCATGATGCTTACGGTATTTAGAACTATTTCCTTTAAACTAACAAGAAAACTAGCTGTGTGTCAAGGGTAACTTACATGGAGTTTCCTGTTGATACAGTGAGGCAGCTACTGTAAAACATGAAAAATAAACGTTGATTTAGAGTTGTAATATTTTAAGTTCATGCATGTTATACAAAGCATTAATTGTTTTAGTGAAAAACAATCCACCCCCCCCCCCCCCCACCACCCACCTCCCTTCCGTTCATCACTAAGATGTGATAGTGATCCATAAATGACGTCACGCTTTTTAAAACAATTTTACTCCCATTCATCTTCACAAAACCCAGACACCCCCCCCCCACCTTAAAAGAGGCTACACCTCCGCCTACTACCCCCCCACCCTCCTCATTTTTTAAAAAAATAAATGGCAGTTTATTTCAAAAATATTTACTTACTTAATAAAGTATTTTTTAAGACGCGAAAAAAAGCTAAAATTCAGTTTCGACCATAACCTTTTAAAAGGCAACAGTGTCTTAAAACTCTCTAAACCTCTCTCGTCTCTAGTCCTAACCCCCCTCCCCTCCCACATACGAGTGTGAAGACCCCTTATCCCTAACAAATCCTGCTACAAACAAATCCTCACCGTCGCAGGCTTTGATGGCCAGCAGCTCTCTTATCTCCGACAGCGCCGTGAAGTTGTCCACGTGAAACACGAACTTATCATCCGGGTCACTGGCCAGCGCCATCAGCTCTTCCGCTTCCGGTTTCGTACCGATCCCGATGGCGAAAATCTGAACGCCTTCCTCGTGAGCCTTGGCCGCCTCTCTCTTGGTGGCGGCCACGTCGTTGGAGTCCCCGTCAGAGAGGATGACAACGACGCGAGCGACGTTCTCTCGTACGTTCGCGCTGGAGAATAGTTTCCTTCTGACGTGCTCCAGGGCGCCGGCTGTGTTCGTGCCCCCGGTCAGGTAGGGGGCGTTGGCTAGGACCTGGTGGATGTTCTCGTTGGTCTGTTCGTCCGTCAGGGAGACGAGCGTCATGGGGGAGTCACTGTAAGCCACGACGCCGATACGGGTGGCGTCAGGGCTGACTTGAAAACTGGACACAACCTGTGGGAAAAGGAAAGGGTAAAATAAAATTTAAACGTGGGGAAAATGCACGGTAAATTAAAAGACGTAAAAACTAGACCTAGATGTAAATAGACAGTAATTTAAACAAGGGGAGAGCTGGACACGACATGGGGTAAATGGAGAGGTAAATTAAAACTCGTGAAAAAAATGTATATGCTTTGTGGTAAAGGAGAGAAAATTAAAAGTGGAAAGGTGGATAGTGTTGTCAATGGACTGTAAATTAAAGCTGTAAATATACTGTAAATTAAATATGTAAATGGACAGTGAACTAAAGATGAAAATGGACAGTAAATTATAAATGTAAATGGGCAGTAAATTAAAAGACGAAGAAAACTAGATAGAGATGCAAATGCACACTATATGATACTATATACATATTATTATACCTAAACATATAGAAGCGGAAAGCTAGGCACGATCTTTTGTAAACGTTGGTTAATTAAAAATAAATCGAAAACAGGTCACAATCTGACGTGGAACAAGGCAGCACAGAGCTCGCATGTCATGAAGCTCAACTAAACCCAACAAGAATGTCTGGGGTGACCTACCTCTTGTATGAACCTGATCTGGGCATCAAAGTGTGGCTTCCAGATACTGCTGGAACTGTCCATCAAGAATACAACCTCGGCCACGTTTTGACGGCAAGCTGTAAGATGTAAGCGACATTACAATCATCATAAGATGTAAGCGACATTTCAGTCATCACAAGATGTTAAACGTGACTAATGTAACAGTTGTAAAAATAAGATGAAGGAAATGAAATCACTATTTTTTTATTTATTTTTTTACAATAGTTGATGTATGGTTTAAAAAAAATATGTAACAGTTGCTGAAACAAGATGGACGAAAGTGTAATACATTTATTTATTTATTTACAACAGTGCATGCATGATTTAAAAAAAAATATAACTAACCGTAAGAGACGTCCTCCTTATTATTTTCTGGAAACAAATCTGTTGTTTTGTGTTCTGGAGATTAAAAAAGAAATGTTCAATTAAGATATAGGTATGTGCCATACAATATACATGAGACTTTTCGGTCGAATGGTAGAGCATACGGATGCTGACCCAAAAGTCTCGAGTTCGAATCTGGATTCAAGTCAGTAGAACGTCCCTGAGTCCACCCAACTCTGATGGGTACCTCACTCACGTCAGGGTAAGTAAAGGCGGCTGGGCATAATGCTGACCCCACTATCCCTTCATATGACGAGGTCACGGAAACAGGTAATCTGTACGTGCCCAAATGACCGCCAGGTTCGAAAGATAACTTTACTTTTATACTTATAAACGTCTAAAGTTGATGATGGGTTAATGAAAGCCATCACAAACCCATGTTCTGGGTGTGACTTGGGTTAGTATTTTTGGTAAAGGATTTTAAATGTTTCGTTTCCATTCTTTAAAAATTCAAGCAACGTTGCGTTGTGATAAAGAGACATGACACCAAATATAGTAAAGGTTACCATAACTCACCGTCACAAGCAGCACTGCTTAAAGCCTTCTCGATCCCCTTCAGAGCATGGAAGTTCTCCACAGTAAACAAGTGATCCGCCTTAGGCTCACTGGCAACGCTCTTGATCTCAAAATCATCCAAACCGTTTCCGACCCCCACGGAAAAAATCTCGATATTCTTCATCTTCGCCATCGACGCCTCGGCTAAGGTACGACTGGTGTTTTGTGACAGCCCGTCTGTGATTAAAACCATAATGTGCTTAGCCCAGGGGCGGCCCCCGTAGCTGGGTTGAAACATATGAGTGTGTGTGAACTTGATGGCTTCGTGGGTGTTGGTCCCATCCTCAAGATGCGGGATCATCCCGATCTCGATCTTCAGACTGCGGGAGTCGGTGAAATCGTTCAGCTTGATGTTGACGCTGACGGACGAGCCGAAGGAGATGACCCCCACCTGAATGTGGTTGGGGCCGACGTGGAAGCGGTCGACCACGCCCTTCAGGAAGGTCAACTGCTGCTGGAAGTCGTGGGCGCGGATGCTGAAGGAGGAGTCGATGACGAAGACGATGTCGGAGGCGTGGGTGTAGCAGCCGGTGGGTGACTCCTCGAACCCACCTGGATCTGTGAAAAAAAGTTTGGAACACTTATAGTAGGTTTTGGATAGGTGTATCATGCTGTGTAGGATTACCTATACAAGTTAGGGCACAAAACTGATAACATAAGTTTGTGTGTTATGCATTTTAAAACCATAAATGACGTCACACTCGTAGGAGGGAGGGGGGTCGTAGTTTAGAAACGTTAAGTGATGAGCGGAAGGGGGGGGGGGTTCAGATGGTGTGATGTCACACTTTTGCATTATAAAAAAAGCAATGTTTAAGCCTTTACTTCGAGTTTTAGAAAAAAATTTTAATAAATTGTAATAGGAATCGATTAAAATACTCAATGTTGACAGAGTTCAGACAAGATTTTGGAAATATAAGGTATTTTAAGAAAAATTCAACTGCAATTTAGGGGGGGGGGGGGTTGTAGCCTGAGGTGTGACGCCATTTTAGACATCGAGAGGGTGTATTAGATGATGAGCCTTGTTTCATACGGTTAGAGTACTATTGAGTCAAGCCACCGAGATTATATATCAAGTGGTGAGTTGTGTTATAAGAGTAAAGCACAACTGAGATGATGAATCCTGGCAGAGTATAATTCAGGTGTGGGAATGAGTGTAAAATGTGACTCATAAAGACAAGTGACGTATGTTCGGTGTGTGTGTAAGGGGGGGGGGGGGGTGATAAGATGAGTCTGAGACAGAGAAACGAAGAACGTGATGGAAACAATATGTTACGTTATGTGTGACCTAATAACATTGATCTTTAAAAGAAACGAAAATAACTTTTGCATCAACACCTTTCAGATGAAACATAATTCAAAACGTCTTTACTACTACTTCGTGCAGACGCATTTATTTGAAACACTACTTTGACGTTTACGATGTGTGTGTGTGTGTGTGTGTGTGTGTTATTTGTGTGGTGGGGGGATGTGGTCTTGTGTTTAAATTTGAACGTGTGTGTAATATTCATCTCTGTTTATTTAAAAATAAATTTGTGAAAATTTTCAGTACAAATAATTTGCGTTGGAAAATTTAAGCTAAATGTGACAAAGAATAACCCATATGAGAAGAAAATGTATTGTTTATAGATTCTGTTAACGACTTAGTAATATGCAATGGCCCTCCTACCCTTAATCTAGTTTAGCTCGTTAAGATTGTGAGCTCATAATAGACGATAATTTACTTACTCGGGAATGCTTTTGTGATTGTGGAACAAAAGACCTGTCGAAGAAAAAAAAATGCATTATTAGTTTCTTCATTACATATAGCATTGGCGTAGCCAGGATCGTCTCAAGGGGCGGGGTTCCAATCTTTACCCGGGGACAAACTTTCGATTTGCACCCCCCACCCCCTCAAACTTTCGATTTGCACCACCCCCCCCTCAAACTTTCGATTTGCACCCCCACCCCCCCACCCCCTCAAAATTTCGATTTGCACCCCCCCTCATACTTTTTCTATATACCGAGGGGTCTATGGGGGGTTATGACCCCTCCCTAACACCCCCCCTGCCTACGCCACTGACATATAGCATTATCATCTTAATTTTCTGCACTCTTTTTGGTTCCTTAAGGAAATTGGTCTCTGTTATACAGTTTCCCTACAATTTTACGGTTTATGTGTATGATTATCAACTATTTTAAAATGTAGAGACGTTTTCTACTTGTATTTCTTTGACAAATGTGTTCTTTTAATGAACTCGTTAAAGTAAGGCAGATTGTATTGTTGAGCATGTGTTCATCAATGTAAAGATATGTTAACTGGTCGACGCAGAATGTTTGTTATCTCCCCATTCAGTGTAAGCCTTACGCGATTATCTCTCCATTGAGTGCAAGCCTCACAAGATTATCTCACGACTACAGGCCTGAGATAGCACTGCATATCTTGCATTCCCGCGAGTTCTAGATCTCATGCCTGGCTCGAGATTTTGGAAACCTTTGGCTTAGGGGGTAACCCACTGCTTACTTAGCGTTAGGTTTAGTGGTAGATATATTCTGCTTAAGATTTTGAGTGATAGATTTAGGTTTAGGTTTAATTATTGTATGAATTATAAAGATTTGTTAAGGGTTTAGTTAAGTTGATTTTAGGAGGGGGCTTAGTATTTAAAGGTTAGGTTTTGATCTAAAAAAATGTGGTTTACGTTTCAGTTATAGGTTCAAATTAAAGGTATGTTTACATTTAACTTGGTTTAGAGATTCTTCTAGGCCTCTCTTCGAGGGGGGGAGGGGGGAGGGGGAGGGCGAAGAAAGTTACCCCCCCCCCCAACCGAATGAAATGGAATTTATATAGAAAATATATGCTTTTACCAGTGTCGTCGTGTCCCCCCCCCCCCCCGCAAAATGTTGACCGCCCCTCCCATTGCCCCCCCCCCCCCCCCTGAAAGTATCAAGTGCCCCCCCCCCCCTGAAAGAAACACTGACTTGGTTGAGAGTTCAAACTAGCTTGTATTGTGCTCTTTAGAATTGAGTTCCTAGTTATGTTATATGCCTGGTTTATGCTTTGGTTTTGAAGCTTGGCCATGGTTGAGACTGAAACCATATTCATATCTTGCTTTAGAGTTAGCCTTATAGTAAAAACCCCATATCGCATGATGTACCTTTAAAAATTGATGTTTGTTTACATTGACAGCAACGCGTTTCTCTCTCTATTATCCCCATCAATGTGTCAACACAAGGGACCATCAAGCCAAGTTTACACGACATGAATATATAAATATTCTACAACCTAGCTCAAAGTAACCTCTGATAACCACTGTGTTATGACCTTGTGTTTAGGTCCACTTATCGGGAAAGTCAAAAATAAAACTAGGCTGTTCTCTGATAACGAAACAAAAAAAAGAAAGCTAACAGTGTAGCAGGTCCTAAGAAATCTACGTGCATAGATATAAAACTCAATGCAAACATGGCTGCCAGTTTTTTCATAAGAAAATGATTAACTGTTAAATTATGTTTAAAAAAAACAGAATTAATTATTTTTCGCGAAACTTAAGGGTTGATAAATTAAATAAAATGAGAAAAATAAAACGTGTGTTTAGAACTTACCAAGGTAAGTAAGAATGCGAACATTTTCACGTCAGTGCAGTTAGAGATAGATGTTATCCACTTAAAAAGTTGGCCTATAACAGTCAGGTTGAAACCTTCACGAAACAAAAAAACATTTTTTTAGGAAAACAAAATATGGCGTCGGTGAAGCTATAAGATATAAGCTATGTGTGTGTGTGTGCTCGTGTGTGTGTGTGTCTGTGTGTATGTGTGTGCGTGTGTTTGTTTTAACAGACATAAACATGTGTTACTGTAAGTTTTATTTGCATTGTGCTAACTTTGTTTGAAATGTAGGGTATGGTAGCGTGTGCTGATAAATCTAAACGATAAATGGTCTAGACGCAGCGCACAACACAACACACACACACAGACACACACAAACACACATACAGACACAGACACAGACACACACACACACACACACACATGTCCCGATGGCTTACACAGTGATAGTGTTGTAAAAAAAAAAAAAAAACAGAAAACAAAACACGACTTTGTAGCGAGTGAGGAATTTAGCCGTCCGTCTTAACGACTTGAGTTCGAAAAATGCCAGAAGTTTTACTGCCTGACCTCCAGACAACGGCATGCCACTCTGTTACCTGATGAAATCAAATTATTTCCCTGCTGGAGTCAAATTGTTTGACGCGGAACGAGTTCGGATCCAAATGAGAACGAAGCACAATTTGTAAATATTTTTTTTTTCCAACACCTGAACAATTTTACTCAGAAATTCACAAACGTTGATTTAAAGAATTAAAACATAAGCTCCACAGAATTAAATATCTTGAAGATTTAAAAACACACTGAAACTAAGATCCCTTCCAAGTCTATCATCACAAACTCCTACTCATCTCCCCACCCCCACCCTTCACCCCTACCACCCCTCCCCTGGTACCTCTCCAGAGTGAATCCATCCCTCACAGCAAGTCTACACTCTCCATTTATTCCATCCCCACCGGCTCCTGTCTCATCATGACAAGGGCGGTAACTAATATCATACTTATCTCCCCTTGCCGGTCTAAAAACGATAACTGATAAGCTTTGTTATCCATTCCGCACAAAAGCCGGGTTGTGTTACCGCACTGGGGTCAGGTAACACATCAGTAACAGCCTCTCTCTCTCTCTCTCTCTCTCTCTTTCTCTCTCTCTCTCTCTCTCACTCTCTCTCTCTTTTTTTTTCTCCCTTAATTTATGGCTTAAGATATTACTTGTTTATTAAGCTTCATCTTAGCGGGAGATACGTCAGTTCTGGGGAGTTAAATTCCTGCTAGCTGCTAATTGGTTTAATAGAAAAAATACTTAATCATGCTAAAACATAGAAGTTGTTGTTTTTTTATTTTTTTAATTAAATCTATTTTCCGTTATGCGTTCCTAAGAGTATAATTTTCCTAGGCGTGAAGCATTTTCATGCTTATCCCTAACCTATCCCTATCCCTGAACTTAACCCTGGCGGCTAAATATATGGACATTATGAACTGTCCGTGTGGTCCTATGTAAATATGAAATAACCTCGGTTTTGTTGGAGAGGATTGGTACTGACCATGCGACCCAACCTGGTCTGTTTACAGAGGCGTAGCGACCCTTCCCGGCGCCCGGGGACAAACTTTCGATTTGCACCCCCCCCCCCCCCTCAAGCTTTTGATTTGCACCACCTCAAGCTTTCATTTTTATTTTTCCAACCCATTTTGGCGCCCCCTAAGGTCGGCGCCCGGGGACATATGTCCCCCCCCCCTCGCTACGCTACTGTCTGTTTATCATCAAGATAATTAGATTAATATACGGAATATAAACACATCTTGGTCGGTGTATAGTTAAATTGTAGATCTTACAAAGAAATGAACCGTGGAAAGGGTAAAATTAATTCAGATTTCGTTGATTTTTTTTATTTAATAAAACATGTTTCGATTTATGCAGCACGATTCATCATCGTTGCCGTGTCTCTATATCTAGTATAAACAAATAAAATCCCCCGGGGGGTGGGGGCCTGTTTGACAAACACACGCAATTTCGGCTACCGAAGACGCTCCCGCGGCGACAGGCCAGGTAAGATACGGCACGCAGGAATGTACCTGGCATAGGTCAGGGTCGCGCGAGACAGTTTTGACCTAAAATAAGGACACGGACATTCCCTGTCAACAAATCTTCCTTTTTAAAGTAAAAAAAAAAACCCATCGAAATAACCAGTGCTTATAGAGGGATGGTGGTAACAAAACAAAGACACAGAGAACATAAATTAACAAACATAATATAAACAAAACCTAAAAATGTATTCATTAAAACATTACACCAGTTATGTAATAGATAGCGTATAAATATATTTTGTCGTTGGTAACGGTATCCGTTCCGCATTAAGAAGCTCAATGAATGCTAACGCGTGTTGTTAGTATAATATTATATTGTTTTGTGTTGCTATACTGTTGAGCACAAGGGGAATAACAAGTTCTAAGCCGGTGGTCCTGTATGGCACGCGGTCTAGAATATTCTCCACATACAAACGGCGTGAGTAACAAGATGCACGTGATGTCGACACCAACGTGAGTCAGTCAAGTTTCGTCAATTAAAATATCCAGTTCTACACAGGGCTTTTCAAATGTCAAGTTTCTTGCAGGACTTTAGAAATATCAAATTCTACACAGGAATATAGAAATGTCACGATTCTCACAAGACTATAGAAATCTCACGTTTCTTACAGGACTATAGAAATGTCAAGTTTCTTACAGGACTATAGAAATGTCAAGTTTCTTACAGGACTATAGAAATGTCAAGTTTCTCACAAGACTATAGAAATGTCAAGTTTTTCACAGGACTATAGAAATTTCAAGTTTCTCACAGGACTATAGAAATGTCAAGTTTCTTACAGGACTATAGAAATGTCAAGTTTCTTACAGGACTATAGAAATGTCAAGTTTCTCACAGGACTATAGAAATGTCAAGTTTCTTACAGGACTATAGAAATGTCAAGTTTCTTACAGGACTATAGAAATGTCAAGTTTCTCACAGGACTATAGAAATGTCAAGTTTTTCACAGGACTATAGAAATGTCAAGTTTCTCACAGGACTATAGAAATGTCAAGTTTCTCACAGGACTATAGAAATGTCAAGTTTCTCACAGGACTATAGAAATGTCAAGTTTCTCACAGGACTATAGAAATGTCAAGTTTTGTACAAGGCCAACTTAATGTCAAGTTTCTTACAGGACTATAGAAATGTCAAGTTTCTCACAGGACTATAGAAATGTCAAGTTTCTCTCAGGACTATAGAAATGACTAATTTCTCACTGGTATACCAAAATGTCGTTTCAACATAAAGCTATCAAAATACGATACAATAGGTCATAATAGAACTATTAACTGCCATGCTTTTTGTAGTGACATTCATTTCAAAACTTAACGCTTCTTTCTAAAAAACAAAAATAAAATCTCTTTACGATTGGATGCGTATAAATCAACGTTTTTTATGTATTTTCAATGTTTAGTAATTGTATTTAAATAAA